GACCCACACACACCCACACAGACAGACACACACACACACACACACCCGCCTGTGTTTACGTAAGTAGGAACTCGGTTGTTAATCGATTGGGGGGTCACTTTTCCGGGGGTAATAATCCCTTCAAAAAATAATAATAATAATAATAATAATAGTTTGGTCACCGAATCCACGGCTATTTGTGGGGACGTCACTGCTCGAAGCTGTAATGTCCAAACTCTCTGGACGCTCCTAAGGGAACCTTCTGAATCAGGGAACTGGGGGTTCAAACCCCGTCTTTGGGGACTTTGAGCTCACGCGCTCTTGACTGACCCTCCAGTGCAGCGCTGGGGTGGGGGTGGGTGGGGGCGCGGAGGTAAGAGAGAGCCCCTCATTGTCAAAGTCCCGACCATTCCTATGAAAACTCACTGCCCTCTCCGTCTGGGCAGACGCTCAAAAGATTCTCTGACGCTGTTGTTGGAAAAGAGAAGGGAGTTTGTCCCTCTCTCTCCCCCTCTCTCTCGCTCTCTCTCTCTCGCTCTCTCTCTCCCCCCCCCCCCCACCCCCCAGTGTCCTGGCTCTGGGGTAAATGTAAGTTGTTGTTTGTGTCACTTTGTTCCCTTAAGCGCTCACCTACAGAACACACGGTCACTGCACTTTACAGTAACTCCTGTGAAGCGCTTTGAATCGTCCTCTCACTCTCTCTCTCTCTCCATTTCTCCCTCTCTCTCTCTCTCTCTCCATTTCTCCCTCTCTCTCTCTCCATCTCTCCCTTTCTCTCTCCATCTCCCTTTCTCCCTCTCTCTCTCTCCCTTTCTCCTCCTTCTCTCCATCTCTCCCTTTCTCTCTCTCCATCTCTCCCTTTCTCTCTCTCCATCTCTCCCTTTCTCACTCTCTCTCCATCTCTCCCTTTCTCCCTCTCACTCTCTCTCCATCTCTCCCTTTCTCCCTCTCTCTCTCCATCTCTCCCTTTCTCCCCCTCTCTCTCTCTCTCTCTCCATCTCTCCCTTTCTCCCCCTCTCTCTCCCTCTCTCTCTCCCTCTCTCTCTCTCCATCTCTCCCTCTCTCCATCCCTCTCTCTCTCTCGCTCTCCATCTCTCCCTCTCTCCATCTCTCTTGTCCTTTGGTGTGAGCCCAGTGATGTGATCTGCTGCTAATTATAGAACAGAGTCAAATGTGTGTGGATTTCAGAGGCTGAAGGGGAGAGCAGCCTCCAAACAGCTGAGTCCTCTCCCCCCTCCCCCATCCCCCCCCCCCCACCCCTCCACCACCCCTCGGCCCCATCGCCTTCCCATCCCTCGCCCCCCCCTTTCGGCTCCAATTCCCAATTGTCCTGTGTGACCGCACATGTCAGCCGTTTGCCTCTGGTCACTCCCTCCCTCCTCCCTCCCTCCCTCCCTCCCGCGGCTTCAGTTCGCAGCTGAAGACCTTACTCTTCGACCGACCAGAGCCTACGGGTAACACCCCCCCCCCGCACCCCCGCCTCCTCCTCCTCCTCCCCGCCCTGACTCCCTGACTGTCCAGCGCCTCGGGACGTCCTCCCGACGTCAACGTCTCCGTGTAAATCCCAGTAAATTCTGACGTTCTCTGTGTGTGTGTGAGTGTGTGAGTGAGTGAATGTGTGAGTGAGTGTGTGTGAGAGCTGTCAACTCGGGGACAGCGATCACCGGTGTCTGTTGGAAATCTCTTGACAGCTGTACGTAAGGGAATGTACCAAATAAATGCTCGCGGGCCTCTCTCGCTCTCTCTCTCGCTCTCTTTCACGCTCTCTCTCTCGCTCTCTTTCACGCTCTCTTTCACGCTCTCTCTCTCGCTCTCTTTCACGCTCTCTCTCTCTCTCTCTCTCTCGCTCTGCGACCAGTCCCAAGGACACACGAGAGCAATCAGCCCCGGGCGGAGTTGGGGAGATTTCTCCCTGATCGGGTCCTGACTGTTGTTGAGAGAGAGCGAGAGCGGGAGAGAGAGAGAGAGAGAGCGCTCTCGCCGCACGTGCTCCGGAGGAGAAGCCGCGGGTCTGATCTGAAAGCGAACGCGTCCACTGTAAGGATGTTCTGTTCCCCGGACGCAGGGAAAACCTTCGGCAAGTTTCCCCGCTCCACGCGTACGGACGCGCGCGCGCACACACACACAGACGCGCGCGCACACACACACAGACGCACGCGCGCGCACACCAGACACGCGCCCCTGTTTACCAGCAGTCAGTAGGAACTCGCTCGTCAGTCGATCAGCGGATCGCTTTTCTGGGGGTAATGATCCCCACCGCCCCCCCCCCCAACCCCCAAAAAAAAAGTATTTTATTCCCACGGCTTAAACCGCCTTAAATCAGGTCTTCTGATCGACCGGCGACGGCCGCCATGAACACACGAGAGGTCGGGTTCAGTACAAAGTTTTATTTGATCGCTCGGGTACAAAAAAAAACATCTTCGGCGAACGGCGTTAATTCACCCGATTCAGTCCGATCCGTACAGACGCCAACAATAATAATAATAATAATAATGACGACGACGACAGTAACAGTCCCGGAGTGTGACCCGGAGGCTGATCGCGTCTCCGAGACGTCCCAACGACGTCCCCCCCCCCCCACCCACACAAACAGCCGTGGATTGAAGTGACCGCATTATTATTATTATTATTATTATTTTTATTTTTATTTTTAAAAAAGGTTATTTTTGAAGCGATGATCGTTATTCTCTCTCTCTCTCTCTCCCTCTCTGTCTCTCTCTCTCTCTCTCTCTCTCTCTCTCTGTCTCTCTCTCTCTCTCTCCCTCTCTGTCTCTCTCTCTCTTCTCTCTCTGTCTCTGTGTCTCCGCCGTCTCCGCACCTCAGTCTGGACAGTGTGAACGGATCCGAAGCCATAACCCACAGCCCCTTTGGGGGAAGAGAGAGAGAGAGGTTCCCACTAACCCTTCGGGTAGAAAAACTGCCCCCGATTTCACCCCTAAACGGCCTGGATCGGATTTTAAGGTGACGCGCCCCCTTGTTCTGGATTTCCCCCCCAAACCCCCCCCACTCCCACCCCCCAAACCCCCCACTCCCACCCCCACCCCCCACCGGTGTGGATCGTCCCTCTGTAGCTGCCCCAGTGAATCCCTTTAAACCCCTCTCAATCGGATCAGCCGCCCCTCAACCTCCTGAGCTCCAGAGGGAGATCCGGTTGGTCTGGGATCGTGGCCCTCGCACACTCACTCACCCTCGCACACTCACTCACTCACTCACTCACTCACTCACTACACTCACTCACTCACTCACTCACGTCTCTCACTCACTCACTCACGTCCTCGCACACTCACTCACTCACTCACTCACTCACTCACTCACTCACTCACTCACTCACTCACTCACGTCCTCACTCACTCACTCACGCCCTCGCACGCTCGGTCACGCCCTCGCACACTCACGCCCTCACACGCTCACTCACGCCCTCGCACGCTCACTCACGCCCTCGCGCGCTCACTCACGCCCTCGCGCGCTCACTCACTCACGCCCTCGCACGCTCACTCGCACCCTCACTCACGCCCTCGCACGCTCACTCACACCCTCGCGCGCTCACTCACGCCCTCGCGCGCTCACTCACTCACACCCTCGCACGCTCACTCACGTCCTCGTGGACTCACGTCCTGGCGCACTCACATCCTCACACGCTCACGTCCTCGCGCACTCACTCACGTCCTCGCACACTCACGTCCTCGCACACTCACTCACACCCTCGCGCACTCACTCACGTCCTCGCACACTCACGTCCTCGCACACTCACTCACATCCTTGCACACTCACTCACATCCTCACACACGTCCTCGCACACTCACTCACACACTCACATCCTCACACACTTACAACCTCACTCACTCACGCACTCACAACCTCGATGGCTCACAATCACTGACTCGCACACTCGCTCACGCTTCCGCTCGCTCCCCCTCGCTCAGCTCACACCCACACCCGATCTCGCTCGCTCGCGCTCACTCCCCCCCTCGCTCACACCCTCGCTTGCTCACTGTCACCGACACTCTCACTCATTCGCTCACACGCAAACCCTTGCTCACGCTCAACCGTCCCTTGCTCAACACCCTCGGTCACACTCACTCTCGCTCACACTCACTCTAGCTCACGCTCACTCAGTCACACTCGCTCTCGCTCACTCACACTCGCTCTCGCTCACACTCGCTCTCACTCACACTCGCTCTCGCTCACACTCGCTCTCGCTCACACTCGCACTGACTCACACTCGCTCGCTCACACTCGCTCTCGCTCACACTCGCTCACACCCTCAGTCGCTCACTGACTCACACTCGCTCGCTCACACTCGCTCTCGCTCACACTCGCTCACACCCTCACTCGCTCACTGACTCACACTCGCTCGCTCACGTGATGACGGAGCTCGGCCCCGCCTCGCCAGCTGTGCGCTGGAGGCGGGGTGTGTGAGGAGCCCCGCCCCCCCCGCTGGGTTGTTGGCCCCGCCCTGCCCGGGAGGCCCCTCCCCTCTGGCTACGTGGGGGGGGGGCCGTTGACGTAGGTCAGCCCCAGGCGGGACCGCATGAAGTTACTGTGGGGGGAGCAGCTCTCGCGCAGGAGGGGGGGGAGCAACAGCCACAGGGTCAACAGCAACAACAGCGACAACAGCAACAACAGGGGGAGGGGCACCAGGGCTCGGCACAGCCCCCCTCGCCCCCGCCCCTCAGACACAGCACAGGGGGGCAGCCTGGGGGCAAACAGGAGGACATTAGCAGTAATAATAGTAATAATAACAATAGCAATAATGGTAATAGCAATAGTGGCCGTAATAATAATGGTATTAATAGTAGTAATAATAACAGTGATACAGTAAGAATAATAGCTGTAGTATTAATAATAACATGATTAATGTTAGGATAATAACAGTAACATTAATAATAGTAATGATAGTTGGAGTAATAATATTAATCGTAACAATAATAGCAATAATAATAGTATGAATGATAACAGTAACATTAATAATAATGGCTGTAGTAATAATAACCATAATAGTAATAACGGTAACAATAACATCAGTAATAGTAATAACAATAGTAATAATAATAGTCACATGAATAATAGTAATAGCAATAATAACATTAACAATAGTAATAACAGGAAGAATAACAGCTGTAATAGTAACAATAACTTTAATAATAATAACAATAGTAATTCTCGTGAAGATGTGACATCAAATGCAAGAATTATTATTATTATTATTATTATTACTGTAGTATTATGGTTTGCGATCGGCCCGGGAATCGAACCCGGGTCCTCTCGCTTGCGAGGCGGGGGCTGTGACCCCCAGGGACACCCCCCAAAGTACCGACAGCCGCACTTACCCGCTCTCCACCCCGAGGCCGACGTCAGGGGTCGGGAACCCTTTCAGCCGCAGTTCCCTTTTCTGCCGCGAACAGAGAACCAAAATTCCCTTTAATGCTCTCAATGTTTCCTGAGGGAAGCGGTGAACGTTCCTCCCGCGAGTCGGAGCGTCTGTCACCCTCATTCCCCACACCCCCCATCCGCCCCCACCCCAAACCCCCGGCCCCTCCCATCCGCCCCCACCCCAACCCCCGCCCCCGGGGGGTAATACCTTCCCAAAATATATAGACACACAATAATAATAATAATAATAGTCCTCACCTTCCCCCCCACTTCCCACCCTCCTTCCTCCCCCATCTCCCCCCCCTCCTCAACCCCCCATCCGCCCCCATCCGCCCCATCCCCCTATCCGCCCCAACCCCCCCATCCGTCCGAACCCCCCCCATTCACCCCCACCCCCATCCGCCCCCACCCCAACCCCCGCCCCAAAATATATAGACATATATATAATAATAATAATAATAGTCCTCACCTTCCCCCCCACTTCCCACCCTCCTTCCTCCCCCATCTCCCCCCTCCTCATACCCCCTCCTCACGCCCCCATCCTCACCCCCACCCCCCTCACACAGTCACTACCCTTCACAGCGTGTAAGGGTTGATTTATTATTATAATAATTATTATTAATGATTATTACTAAGATTATCATTATTAATATTAGTAGCGGTATTAATATTGTTGTTATTATATTAACACTCACCGCTTGGGACTTGAAGTCCGGGACCCCCGGTTGCTGGCACGGCCCCTCCCACGGGCCGCCTGGCCTCCGCGGTGACCCCCAGGGGTCCCTGAGGCCCCAACTCATCCCTCCGTCCCCCTCCCCAGGAGGAGAAAGCGAGGCGGGTACAGCCCGAGAGATCGTCGCAGCCCCTGGGAAGAAGACATAAAAAACCCTTAGTACATCCGCTCGATTCCCCCCCCCGCCCCAGCAGCCCCTCTCCGCACCCCCCCCCCACCCCCCCCCCACCCCCACTCCCCACTCCCCACTGGTTCAGCTTCTTAACGATTTGGGAACTTATAATAATAATAATCCCTGTGTTTGACGTCGTCCAGACGTCTCGAAGCACTTCGCTCTGAAGTGTAGTGACTGTGCGTGTTTTGCGGGCGAAACGCGGCAGCCGGTGGCCCCCGGCGACGTCCCCACAAACAGCCGGGGGTTGAAGTGACCGAATTATTATTATTATTACTATTTTGAAGGGATTATTACCCCCGGAAAGTGATTCCCCCCAATCGACTAACAAGCGGTGCTGACGGCTGGTTAATAGGGGTGAGGGGGTGGGGGTGGGGGGGGGTGAGGATGAGGGGGGTGAAGAAGGGGTATGAAGAGGGGGGAGATGGGGGAAGGAGGGTGGGAGGTGTGGGGAAGGTGAGGACGGACCCCTCCCCTCCCACGAGCCCGGTTTATTCGCTCACCTCCAGGACCCTCAGGGGGGGGTCCGGTTTGGCCGCTGACACCCGGAGCAGATCCGGATCCCGCAAGTCCTGCTGTGGCCTCGTCCCTCCGACCACCAACTCCCGACCCCCACAGCTTCCCCACAGCCTCCCCCCGGCACAGAGGGACCTGTGGCTCGGCTTCACCCCTGAGCCAGAAGATCAGTCAGACACAGACGGGTACAAATACCCCCTCAACACCCACCCCCCCAATTCCCCCAACGGCCCCCAATTCCCCCAACGCCACCCAATTCCCCCAACGCGCCCCAATTCCCCCAACGCCACCCAATTCCCCCAACACCACCCAATTCCCCCAACGCCCCCCAATTCCCCCAGTGCCCCCAATTCCCCAACAGCCTCCAATTGCCCCCAAAGCCCCCCAATTCCCCCGATGCCACCCAACTCCCCCAACAGCCTCCAATTCCCCCCCAACGCCCCCCAATTCCCCCAACCCCCCCCCCCCCCACACACACACCTCGGCATTCGACCCAGCGCCTCATCACGTCGGCGCGACGCCTCAAAGCGCTTCGCAGGATACACTGCGAGGTGTAGTGACTGTTTCGTGGGCGAAATAATAATAGCCTCCAACCCTCTCTCTCTCTCTCTCTCTCTCCTCCCTCCCACGTCAGCCATCCCGGTTCCCGTTTTCCCACAGTTTTTGGGGGCGGCGGAATTTGACTCGGGATGAGAGGGAATCTGGGCGACGGGGACGGGGCAAGTTGTTGCTGTTGTTGTTGTTTGTACCTGGTGGTTCCAGGGTCCAAGGCCAAGCCGTGGGGATGTCACACACACCGGACCGGCCATCGGTCACGTCAGGTTCAGGCTCACACTGACAGCCCACATCTACCTACAGAGAGAGAGAGAGATAGAGAGAGTGTGTGAGAGAGAGATAGAGAGAGATAGAGAGAGAGAGAGAGTGTGTGAGAGAGATGGAAGGAGAGATAGAGAGTGAGTCAGCGAGAGAGCGAGTGCGAGATAGTGAGGAGGTGGGGGTGGTGAGAGAGAGAGGGGGATAGAGAGAGTGTGTGAGAGAGAGGGGAGATAGAGAGTGAGTCAGCGAGAGAGAGCGAGAGCGAGACAGTGAGGAGTGGGGGTGGTGAGAGAGAGAGAGAGGGATAGAGAGAGTGTGTGAGAGAGAGGGAAGGAGCGATAGAGAGTGAGTCAGCGAGAGAGCGAGTGCGAGATAGTGAGGAGGTGGGGGTGGTGAGAGAGAGAGAGGGGGATAGAGAGAGTGTGTGAGAGAGAAGGAAGGAGAGATAAAGCGGGAGTCAGGGGTTGTGTGTGAGAGCGAGAGAGTGTTTGAGAGATAAAGTGTGAGAGAGCGAGAGTGAGAGAGAGAGAGTGAGTGAGTGAGAGAGCGAGAGAGACAGTGAGAGAGTGTGCGAGAGAGGAGTGTGCGAGAGAGTGAGTGAGTGTCGGAGAAAGAGGCGAGTGAGAGAGAGAGCGAGAGTGTGAGAGTGAGTGTGAGAGAGAGAGCGAGTGAGAGCTTGAGTGAGAGAGAGAGAGTGAATGTGGGAGAGAGAGCGAGAGAGTGTGAGAGTGACTGTGAGAGAGAGAGAGAGCGAGTGAGAGCTTGACTGAGAGAGAGAGAGAGAGTGAGTGTGAGAGAGAGAGCGAGTGAGAGAGAGCGAGAGAGTGTGAGAGAGTGAGTGTGAGAGAGTGAGTGTGTGAGTGTGTGTGAGAGAGAGAGAGAGAGCGAGTGAGAGAGAGAGAGAGAGAGAGTGAGTGTGAGAGAGCGAGTGAGAGAGAGCGAGAGTGTGAGAGTGAGTGTGAGAGAGAGAGAGTGAGTGTGAGAGAGAGAGCGAGTGAGAGAGCGAGAGAGTGTGAGAGTGAGTGAGAGAGTGAGTGTGAGAGAGAGAGTGAGTGAGTGTGAGAGAGAGAGAGTGAGTGTGAGAGAGAGAGAGTGAGTGTGAGAGAGAGAGCGAGTGAGAGAGAGGAGAGAGTGTGAGAGTGAGTGAGAGAGAGAGAGTGAGTGTGAGAGAGAGAGAGAGCGAGAGAGAGAGAGCGAGAGAGTGTGAGAGAGAGAGAGTGAGTGTGAGAGAGAGAGAGTGAGAGAGAAGAGAGAGAGAGAGAGAGAGAGAGAGCGCCCGGTGAGCGGTCCATCTCTCAGGTACCTGTCCGCTGGGCTCTGCACTGGAGAAGCGATTCCTGACGTTGAGTTCCCGGAACGTTTCCTCTGTGTCCGGGATTCCGGAGGTGTCTGGAATGGGAAGGAGGTGTGAGCGGGATCGAGGCGAAGTGACTGTACCCTCCCTCCCTCCCTCCCTCCCTCTCTCGCTCCCTCCCTCCCTCCCTCCCTCTCTCGCTCCCTCCTTCTCCTCACCATCTCTCCATCTCCCACTCGCCTTTCATGTCGGAAGGACATCCCACCCTCACACTCTCCATCGCTCTCTCTCTCACACTCCCCCTCTCTCACACTCGCTCCCTTGACTCTCTCTCTCTCTCTCTCTCTCTCTCTCTTTCTCCCACTCCTTCTCTGTCGCTCTCTCTCTCACTCCCTCTCTCTCTCTCTCTCTCTCGATGGCTGAGCTGTGTGTGGGTTTAGTTGGTTAGACCCCAACAGTTACCCCAACGCACACTCTGGGCTCCCCCCCCCCCCCCCCACCCCCCAAAGCCTCGGCTCTCCCCAACCTGCGCCTAATACTCTCCGGAATTAGGTAAACAGGGGGCGTCCCTCCAGAGAGAGAGAGAGAGAGAGAGAGAGCGCATCCCATCCCGACACTCTCTCTCTGGGGTTCCCGGGTGTGGGGGATGTGGGGAATTCTCAGTCGGGTTTAATAATAATAATAATAATAATAATAATAATTGTATAATAATAATCTTTGCAATCGGCTGCTGTGTTTCACCCACAAAGCGCACAGTCACTACGCTTGACAGCGTGTCCCGTGAAGCGCTTCGAGAGGTCTCGAAGCCGTGATGAGGCACCGGGTCACACACCGGGAATATTATTATTATTATTATTAATATTAATATAACGAGGGGCCGCGAGGTCTCTCTCTGTCCGCTGGGCAGGGGGACAGGACGAAGGGGTTGGGGTGGTGGGGGTGGGGGGTGGTGTCTGTGTGTGTGTGTGTGGGGTGGGGGGTGGGGGGTGGGGGGGGGCGGGGGGGGCTTACCTGACAATTCATCGCTGTCCCCCTGCCCTCGGTCGGTGGTCTCTCCGATGTCCACAGAGGGGTCCCACTCCAAGCCCAGCGAGTCCACGCTGGCGGGGGTCTCGTACCCCGAGCGGGAGATTCCCTGCCCCCCCCCGGGATTCCCCGGCCCCCCTCCTCCCCGGCAGCCCGGAAAACCGCCCAACAGGGTCTCCAACTCCGTGTCCACATCGCGCTCCGTGGATTCCCACCCGTCATCAAACACCTGTGGGGGGGGGGGGGGGGGACAGTCAACAGCAACAACAACAACTTGCATTTCTCCCCCTCTCCCTCCCTCCCTCTCTCCCTCCCTCCCTCCCTCCCTCTCTCCCTCGCTCGCTCCCTTCCTCCCTCCCTCGCTTCCTCTCTCTCTCGCTCACTCAGTCACTCGTTTGCTCTCTCCCTCCTTCCTTCCTTCCCTCGTGCACTCCCTCCCTACCTCGGGCCCTCCCTCCCTCCTTCCCTCGCTCACTCCCTCCCTACCTCGGTCCCTCCCTCCTTCCCTCGCTCACTCCCTCCCATCCTCCTTCCCTCGCTCCCTCCCCCCCTCTTTCTCTCTCTCTCTCGCTCACTCAGTCACTCCCTCCCTCCCTCCCTTTCTCTCTCTCCCGCTCTCACTCAGTCACTCACTCACTCACTCACTCGCTCACTCACTCACTCGTTTGCTCCCTCCCTCCCTCCCTAATTCCTACACGCACCAAACACACCGTCACTCCGCTTCACAGCGAAGCGCCGGGAGCCGTCTCGATGAGGCGTTGGGTCGAAACCCCCGGAATAATAGCGTTAATAATCATTATTAATTACGATGAATTAGGAACAATCTAAAGATCTCCTCCTCACCGGCCTCAGGCCGACCAGACGTCTGTGGAAGAGGTTGAGGCGGCTGAACACCTCCTGACGGAACGCGAGGAGGTCCTGGATCGCGCCCCGAATCGCGTGCCCGTCCGATTCCTCGCTGCCCACCAGGAGCCGGTCCGCCCTCGCCAACAGCCCGTCCACCCGCTCGGTCTGCTGTGCCACCTCCCCCTGGAACTCCTGCCGTGAGGAACACACACGCAACCCCACCCCCGGGTCACTCCAGCCCTTGCCTCGCTCCCCTGGCACCTCTCCAACTCCCCCCCCCCCCACCACCAACCCCTCCCACCCCCCTACCCGCCTCGCGCCCGCCCGCCCGCCCGCCTTGCCCCTCAATCCACAGCTGTTTGTGTGCGGGGGGGGGGGGGTGTCGCTGGGCGCGACTGGCTGCCGCGTTTCGCCCACGAAACGCACAGTCACTACATTTTTTTTTTACAGTGTGTCCTGTGAGATGCCTCTCTCTCTCTCTTTCTCTCTCTCTCTCTCCATTCCTCCACCTCGTCCCCTCCCTCCTTCCCTCGTCCTCCTCCCTCCTTCCCTCGCCCCCTTCAAACCCTGTCTCAAGACCCTCCTCTTCGGCCCTCCGCCCCTCCTAAAACCCCCCCACCCCCACCCCGACCCCCACCCATCCTCCCGCCCCCTCCAGCCCACCCCGCCCGACCCCAATGCCCAGCTCGGGTCCAAACCCCTGACTTGGGACACCCTCCTGACGTGAAGTGTCACCGTGTAAGTGTCATGTGTTGTGATTGTTGTTGTTGTTGATGTGATTGTTGTTGTGTTGTTGTTGTTGTTGTTGACCCTCCGCCCTCACCTGTAGTTGACACATCTTTTCGGCCGCATTTTTGGCGGAGAAATGTTCCAGGTCAGTCAACCGCAAGTCCAACTCAGTGAGAGACCTCCAGATGGAGTCTCGCTCGCTCTCAAACTCCTCTCTCTGGGTCACGGCAGCCTGACACGCACACGCACCCACACGCACACGCACCCACACGCACCCACACACACGCAGATAACACACACACACATACACACACACACGCACCCACACACACGCAGATAACACACACACACATACACGCGCTCACGCATACACACGCGCGCGCACACACGCGCGCACACACGCACGCACCCACACACACGCAGATAACACACACACACATACACACACACACTCACCCACACACACGCACATAACACACACACACATACACGCGCGCGCACACACGCGCGCACGCACACGGACACACGCGCACACGGACACACACGCACAGGGACACACACGCACACGCGCGCACACGCACAACACACACACACACAGTGTTACACCGACAGCCAACAGTGACCAACAAACAAATCAACTTCAAGATCCTCTCTCTCTGGTCTCACAAATCCCTTCACCCCCACCCCCCCCCCCCCCCCCCCGGCACCTCCCAACCTCCCCCACCTGCTTACCCGCACCCCCAACCCGACCCCCCTCCCCCCTCCCCCCACCCCCGCCCGCTCAACCCGCGACTGTTTGCGGGGACGTCGCCGGGCGCGATCGGCCGCTGCGTTTCGCCCACAAAACACACAGTCACTGCACTTTACAGCGTGTCCCGTGAAGCGCTTTGAGACGTCTCGAAGACGCGATGAGGCGCCGTTATTATTATTGCTGCTGGTAAACACAGGCGCGTGTGTGTGTGTATATGTGACCGTGTGTGTGTGTGTCTGTATGTGACCATGTGTGTGTGTGTGTCTGTATGTGACCGTGTGTGTGTGTCTGTATGTGACCGTGTGTGTGTGTGTGTGTGTGTGTCTGTATGTGACAGTGTGTGTTTGTGTGTGTGTATATGTGACCGTGTGTGTGTGTGTGTCTGTATGTGACCGCGCGTGTGTGTGACTGTGTGTGTGTGTATATGTGTGTCTGTATGTGACCGCGCGCGTGTGTGTGTGTGTCTGTATGTGACCGTGTGTGTGTGTGTGTCTGTATGTGACCGTGTGTGTGTGTGTGTGTCTGTATGTGACCGTGTGTGTGTGTGTGTGTCTGTATGTGACCGTGTGTGTGTGTGTGTGTGTGTGTGTGTATGTGACCGTGTGTGTGTGTGTGTGTGTCTGTATGTGACCGTGTGTGTGTGTGTGTGTGTGTCTGTATGTGACCGTGTGTGTGTGTGTGTGTGTCTGTATGTGACCGTGTGTGTGTGTGTGTGTGTGTGTCTGTATGTGACCGTGTGTGTGTGTGTATGTGTGTGTGTGTGTGTCTGTATGTGACCGTGTGTGTGTGTGTCTGTATGTGACCGTGTGTGTGTGTGTGTGTGTGTCTGTATGTGACCGTGTGTGTGTGTGTGTGTGTGTGTGTGTGTCTGTATGTGACCGTGTGTGTGTATGTGTGTGTGTGTGTGTGGGGGAGAGTAAGGAAATTTGCCTAAGGTTTCCCCCCGACCTGATCCGCCCGGGAATTGAACCCGTGTCCTCTGGCTTGCGAGGCGAGGGGTCTAACCCCCTGAGCCCCCACAGCCGTGACCAGCCGGGTGTCCGACACGCGCACACGGAAACCCGTCACGGTGACAAAGAGCATTCAAACCAACTCAGTGTTTGCACATCACCTTCGTGTGGATATTTGCATCTGGAATAGAGCGCACAAGGAAGAGAGAGAGAGAGAGAGAGAGAGAAAGAGCTGGGGATGGGGTTAGAGTAGACAGCTCCAGTGGGGGAGCGAACCCCAGCACAGACACAACAGGGGGATGGAGAGAGAGAGAGGGGGAGAGAGGGGGGGAGCAAGGAATGGGGTTACAATAGTGGGGGAGCGAGTCCCAGAACAGCCACGATGGGGAGAGAGAGAGAGAGAGAGAGAGAGAGAGAGAGAGGGGGGAAATGGGGTTAGAGTAGAGAGAGAGCTCCAGTGGGGGAGAGGTGGGGTGTGGGGGGCGAGTGGGCAGAGAGGGGGTACCTTCAGTTGGGTGTGGGTGAGGGTTACGCGTCTTTGCAGGCGATCCCAGCGTTGGTTGAGCTCACGGACCACGCGTTGGAGCCGGAGGGAGAGAGTGGGGCCGTGAATCCGGGCAAAATGTCGGCACCGGGTGTTTATGGCCTCCAACTGCTCGGCCTTCTCCCTCAGTCCCCCCGCAAACACCTGCCCTCCGCACACCGGGACAATCAATGGCCAATAGTAATCAATACTAAGAATATCGTACGATCGACAGTACATTAATAGCGACGATAATTCGGTCACTTCATCCGGCGGCTGTTTGTGGGGGAGCGTATCGCCCACGAAACGCACAGTCACTACGCTTTACGGCGTATCCCGCGAAGCGCTTTGAGACGTTTGGAAGACCTGATCGGGCGCCGGGTCACACCCCCTGGGATTATTATTATTATTATTATAAATATAACAACAACCAATAACAGTAATCCCCAGGGACTGTGGGGTGGGGGGCGAGGGGTCTAACCCCTGAGCTCCAGGGGCTGTGGGGTGGGGGGCGAGGGGTCTAACCCCTGAGCTACAGGGGCTGTGGGGTGCGAGTCGAGGGGTCTAACCCTTGAACTTCAGGGACTGTGGGGTGGGGGGCGAGGGGTCTAACCCCTGAGCTACAGGGGCTGTGGGGTGCGAGGCGAGGGGTCTAACCCCTGAGCTACAGGGGCTGTGGGGTGCGAGGCGAGGGGTCTAACCCCTGAGCTACAGGGGCTGTGGGGTGCAAGGCGAGGGGTCTAACCCCTGAGCTACAGGGGCTGTGGGGTGCGAGGCGAGGGGTCTAACCCCTGAGCTACAGGGGCTGTGGGGTGTGGGGAGGGGTCTAACCCCTGAGCTCCAGGGGCTGTGGGGTGGGGGCGAGGGGTCTAACCCCTGAGCTACAGGGGCTGTGGGGTGTGGGGAGGGGTCTAACCCCTGAGCTCCAGGGGCTGTGGGGTGGGGGCCCTCTCACCTCCAGCCTCTGGAGCCGCTGCTTGGCCTCAGTGTGAGGGACGGAGGGGGAGAAGGGGGTGAACGCGTCTGTCGTCTCTGTCCGTCTCAGTGAGTCATCGAAGCTCATGGAATCATCGAGAACCTTCTGCCAGAGGTCCCGCATCTGCTCGACTCTGTGCCCCGTCACACAACGGGGGGAGAAAACAGCGTCACGCGTGCCCGCAACATGCCGCGCACACCCCACAAGACACACAGTCACTACGCTTTTACAGGGGCTCCCGTGAAGCGCTTTGAGACGTTGCGATGACGTGATCGGGCGCCGGGTCACACGCCGGGGTTTGCTATTATTATTATTATTATTATAATAAACGTGTAGACATCAACTCACACACGATATTTACACGCACACACATATATGTAATAATCCTGACATTTGGTACACACACACACACACACACGTATACACACACACACACACACACACACATGTACACACACACACACATGTAAACATACGCACCACATACACACACACATACAGGTACACGCACCCATGTACACACACACACACATGTACACACACGCACATATAAACACACACACCACACACACACGTATGGGGTTGGGTTGGGGTTGGGGTTGGGTTGGGTTGGGTTGGGGTGGGGTGGGGTGGGGTGGGTGGGTTGGGGTTGGGGTGGGGTGGGGTGGTGGGGCCCTGTCCGGGGTTGGGGTCGGAGTGGTTTGTAGGTTAATGTTTAGTTGTTTGTTGACGGCGTTAACTGAACACTCGGAGACTTTGAACCCAAAGGCTCAAACAAACCGACAGAGGCCCAGAGCTCAACACTGAGGCTCTCAAAAGCCATCGCTCGTCCCTCTCTCTCTCTCCCCCTCTCTCTCTCTCTCTCTCTCTCCCCCTCTCTCTCTCTCTCTCTCCCTCTCCCTCCCTCCGCCTTGTCCTCGTCCTTCCTTCCTCATCGTCCGGTCACACCTGTAGACCTTCCTCTTCGACCGACCAGCGCCTACGGTCACCGCCCCCCCCACTCCCCCCCTCGTGCTCCCCCCCTACCCCCCCAGTCAGGCGCTCCCGTATGCGGGCGGTGGGGAGGCTGGAGTGGGGGTGATGGGGGGCTGCGGGCCTGGGAGAGGGGGCTGGGGGGGTGTGGGGGGGGTAACTGGTGGGAGTGGGGTGGCTTTTGTTGTTGTTGTTGTTGTTGCTGATGCTATTGATCTCCCTGTTTGCACCAGGAGCCTGGAGTGACCGGGCCGGGCCCCGGGTCCCCAGGGGACGTGTGGGCCCTCGAGGACATGTGGCTCCACACCGCGGTCACTCCCCTCCCCCACCCCCACCCCCACCCCCAGCCACACGTCTGCCTCCCCACCGTGCAGACACGCATCAAGTGGGTAACCATGTATGTGTGTACATGTGTGTATGTGTGTACGCGTGTGTGCGCGTGTATACGTGTGTGTGTATACGCGTGTGTACGTGTGTGTGTGTGTGTATACATGTGTGTGTGTATACGCATGTGTACGTGTGTGTATGTGTGC